ATTAATCCAATGTGATTGTCATAAAAGGCCCAACCTGGAGTGGGAAAACAACAAATCATTTATATAAAACACTTAAATAAAGACGATTATCAATGTTGGAAACTGGAGTTCACTGAACTCACTGTGGAGTCCATGAAGCCTGCTTGAGAAAAGTTTTCCCTTTGTACTTGAAATTCGATTAAATTTAATTTCCTTCTTTATTCATTGTCTTGAACAGTCACTTGTTGTATTTTCATTCTCAGAGTCCGGACAATACGTCAACAGTCCTTGAACGCAGCATCACCGCTCAACGGTTACCCCGGGCGACGCTTATCGAAACTCTCCTCCACCAATCACAGGGCGAGGTCCTCCGAACGAGCCAATCAGCGGGCTCGTTGGTGGCACCGGGACCAACCGTCGCTTCCGCAGACACAAGTCGAGATTTATCTCGGGTTCGCGCGAGTTAGCGGGCTAACGACGAGCTGTTCGGTTCAACGCGCGCGCTCTGTTCGGGATCAGTCGACCTCGAACTGGATCTCCGGACAGAATGAAAACCCGGGATTCACCGTCACCGCCTCCGGTTCACGTCCACGTACCGGGGACCACACCTGTGCACGTGCACGTGAGGAGCAGCAAAACCCAACAGGTTGTTCCGCCGGTTCATTCAACTGGAGACACAGTGTGATGTTCTTACTGCTCATGCAAAGTCTGTGCCATGATCTAATGTCGAATATCGATCGTACACATGCAGTGAAGATAATATGCGGAATTCACGAGTCAGTTATTCTGATTTGTTAGTTTCTTTACAGAATCTGTTTGTGGATTAGAAACAAACAGCCGGGACTCACAAAAGAGACAAAAAAGCAGGACACAAAATGTCAACAAAGACTCAAATCAACCACAAAGAGTCACGAAATACCAACATACATACACACAATTACGAAAGGGAGACAGAAAACTATCGCAGAGACAAAATGTCAAAGGAAAAGTCACAAAGATACGCACAATTTAAAATCATAAAATGTCCACAGAGTCACAACACTACCACCGAGAGACACACAATGTCCTTGGGGAGAAACAGAAGTTCCACAAAATAACGACTTACAGAATAAAGAGATGAAACAAACACAGAAAGAGACAAAGACGCTCAGAGCGATGACAGAGAGGCAAAATGATGAGAGACACACAAAACGTCCACAAAGAGACTTTTGTGTTTCTCTACCTGAGTTTACAATAAAATATTCTAATATTGTAAGAAGAGGATGATGATGCTGTTATACGTTTCCATTTTCTGCAGAAGACGACAAAGGAGGCTCAGGTGAAGGGAGATGGAGGGAGGCCAAAGGTCCGGTCTCCGTGGATTCCTCCAGGAAGATCGTCCTGCCGAAGAGACGTGGGCTCACCCACCGGCCAGGTCTCTTTATGCTGCCGCGTTTATCTCTCACTTCCATGTTTTCTACCAGAGACCATGAATATACTGACGCGTGAATCCAGCTGGGGGAGAGGAGGGGGCAGGGGTTTGTTCCCCTAACAGGACAGACAGGTTGGCACAGAACAGAGCTGATAATCTCCTTTTGTGGTTGAGAATTAAAGATAGTAGCTATTCATGCTAAGCTGCCAACACACAAAGCAGAAATTTGACCTGTGGCCCTCTGGTCTAAAATATGGAGACGCTCAAAACCAGAAGTGAAAAATAGTTAGAACATATGTGGTGTATGTTTTAACACAATCCTAATTTGGAAATAAGAAAAAGAAAAACGTGGCAAGAGTGATAAAAGCCCCCTTTCAGCACCATACACAAACCCTTCATCCTTATTTATGTGTTTGTTTGTGTCTCTCCATCAGGGAAGCCGAGCGCAGCAGCGTGGTGGAGAGGAGGAGCAGGACGAAAACATGGCTGCAGCGTCCAAAAACCTCAGCATCCTGCTCCGAGAGGAAGAAGGCGTCCGTCGTTTAAAGAGGTCAGAGCCAAAACAGATATCAAAGCTTCAGATGAAGGTCCCATATTCAAATCAAACACTCCAGCAGTGTTCAAAACAACCTAAAGATTCAGTGTGTAGAATTAAAAAACATGGTGGCCAGCTGTGTAACACACTTACGATTTTCCTCTGTTTCCTGCCGACAGGTTGGATTCAAGGAGTCAACACAGAGAGACGGACGTTCTCCTCAGGACCCTTGTAGAAGCAGAAATCGACGGTGTGACAGTAGCCAATCAGCTCACTGCCCTGAAGGAGACTGTCGATAGCCTTGTTAAGGTTGTGATCTGGCACCAAAATGATTGTTGTGTGTACACGTCTGATCAGAAGGATGGACGATAGATGCAGAGAGAGCTGCTGTTTCTGTCCACGCTCACCATTTCCTTTATGTGTTTGTTGTTTAGGACAAGCGGCTGTCGAAGCTGAACGCGGCCTCGGTGCGGCGGCAGCAGGAGTTGCTGTTGGAGAAGATCGAGATGTTTGACCACACGAATCAGAGCCTCCGAGAGCTCCTCAGAGAGTGGAGCCAGTACGAGGTACAGCGAGTGTTTTCACTCCCAACCTCTCTGGAGTTCTGTTCAAACGTCTCTCAAAGATCCAGCAATTAACTGCTCAACAAGAAATCAGATTATCAGTAACAGCAATATTTCTGAGAGTCAATTTATTGTTGAAGTCATTACCGAAGCCTTAAATACCAAAGATTCTCTCTTAAACTGAAAGAAAGCCACAGAAGAAAATATAAACGAGTTTATTTGATTTCTGTTTATAAAGAAACTATTAGATATCTATAAATTTCACGATAAACACTGATATTTAACAGTTCTTGCTGTTGCTTTTATCCACAGAGAGATTCACTGGTGTGGTCCGAACAGAAAGACGCCCTGAAGAAGAGATTATCCGACAGTGAAGCTGAGAACATAGTGAGCGACATGTGACTCACCTCCTCATTCATATGTTCCCCTGTCACCAGGGAATCTGAGGACGTTCTCCATGTTTTTGTTTTTCTCTTACAGCGACTTTTGGCCAAACTCAGCAACAAGGAGAAAGAGGTGTCCAAGCTCGCTGAGCATTTGGACTTTGAAAAGGTGAAGAATTAAAAGCGGAGCAGTGTTTTTGTTTGGGATGTCTCTCACACAATCGGACACAGGTTAATCCTCAGGTCGTCCACAACATGAAACTCCCCCTCACCCTCTGCTTCCCTCCGTCATGGCAGGACAACGTGAAGACCACGGAGGAGCAGTGGAGAATCCTGGAGTCAATACGCGACCACCTGGAGTCTCAGCTGAACCGAGCGGAGGCTGAAAAGGCTCAACTGTCTTCTCAGATTCAGGTCTGTGAATGTAAAGTACAACAGCTCAGAAATATATATATATATATATATAAAAACAAAAAGGATGCAGCTATATAACTGCTTATATCGTCCATACCAAATTTAAACACATTTGTCCAGAAGTAATGTCCTGATTATCTCAGGGACCACATTGGGAACAGTTTTTTGGAATATGCCAACACCCTTTTCCTGTGCGGGACAGAGGATGCAGCAGAACCAGGAGGAGAAGCAGGAGGAGCTCCAGGCTCTGCAGGAGGAGCTGCAGACTCAGAGGCAGCGTAGGGACGACGACCAGGAGGAGACGCAGAGGAGGCAAGACCAGAAAGCTCTGGCTCTGCTGACCCAGCAGGCCGAGCGAGTCGAGGAGTCCACCAGAGAGCTGGCAGGAAAACTTCAGGAGAAGGTCAGTATTCAGAGCCGTCTCCACAAAATCATAGAGTTTAATGGATGATTTCCAAATCCGTCAGCAGCTAACGACTGGATCTACTACGTCGGCAACGTGTGTGAAGTTTAAAATCAATTATCGACATGGAACATTACACAGAGGAACAAAAACACCAGGTTGTGTTTCTCTACATGTGATGACTTCTCTGTGTTAAAGGAAACCCAGTTGGCACAAGCTGTGTCAGAATCCAGCGACTGGTGCCGGCGACACTCTAAAGAGGCGGCTGCTAGAAGGCAGCTGGAGGAGGAAGTGTCTGCTCTCAAACTGTGAGTGAACTCTCGTTGGTTTGTGGGTGTAAAACATGATGTGCACAAACAACTTTGTGTACATCAGGAAAAAAATATACATGTATCCGATTGTACCACAGAATCATCTCTTAATGTCTCTGGGACAGTTTTATGATTATATCGTGAATATACTTGAATTTCTCATATAATGTGCAAGAGTGAGGGTTACGCTCATGATACAGTTCCTGTTCCTTGGTTTGGTTTGTTTTTGTCATGAGACAGATGACACAATGCAGCATGAGTCTCAAACGCACTGTTGTGTATAAAACTGAAGCATTATAGAAACTGTTAAGATTCAAAAAGCACCGTATCTTTGAACTGTTTGTTTTACTCGCCTCCATCGCAGCCACGTGAACGAGCTGAATTCTCAGCTTCACTCGTCAGAGGAGAGGAGCCGGGGGGAGAGAGAGAAGCTCCGGGAACAGCTTCATCACCTCAGTGCTGAAAACACCTCCACCAAGCTGGACAACCAGAGACTCCAGGTACCTTCTGAAAAATTTAGATGTTTTTCATTCAGTTTCATAATTTCTGTCAACTTGAGGAAATTTATCTCACTGGCATTTCTTTAAAATGTGCTCCATGTTCAGGCTGAGTCGACGTCATCAGAGGAGAAACTGAGGGGACATCAGTCTGAAGCTCGTCAGCTGAAGACGTCGATCAAAAAGTATGAAAATCTGGTGGAGAAATACAAGAAGAAGGTTTGGACTGACTCAGAGAATCTGCTTCACTTTAAATACTTTAAACACAGCAAATCAAATGTTAAATGAAGGTTAGTTCACTGAAATCACAAATTACAAATGATCTTTGTTGATAGTGCTGATCCAGATCCAGGTTTCTTCCCCGACAGATCAGATGTTTAGATACCGGTTTGTTGTGCTCAGCTCCAGCAGGCTCGTCTGGAGTCGGAGGAGTACTGCCTGAAGCTGGAGATGACGCAGAAGGAGATGCAGGAGGTGAAGATGAGCCTGGAGAGGGAGAAGGATCAGGTGAGGAGGGAGCTGCTGGGCCGACTCCGCGAGCTCGAGGCGCTGCCCGACAGACTGAGCAGGACCGAACAGCAGCTCAGAGACGCCCAGCAGGAGGCCGACGCCCACGAGCGGAGGAAGATGGAGCACAGCTCTGCCCTCTCTGATGTCAGACACAAGGTGCACAGCAGGACACTGGAAACAGCTGCTCAAATGTCGGCATGTCTCATTTTTATAAATTGGATGAGGTTTTGGAGGATTTCTTTGATATTAGAAATGAGGGACTGCTCAGGTCTTAAATTAAACCCAGGCCGCTGTGGAGAAGACTCAGCCTTGATGTGAGGCATGTGCTCTACCTGGTGCACTTCTGTCCGAGGTGGATTTCTGTCATGGCTGACGCTGTGTGGTTTGTTTTCCTCCACAGGTGGAGCAGCAAGGCGTTCAGCTGGAGATGTTTCAGCAGAGGAACCTGCTGCTGCAGGAGGAAAACAATGTTCTCAAAGAGAAAATCCACAACTTAGAAAGGTACTGACACTTGTAAAACTATCTCTGAAACACATGCGCAGATGTTTCTAAGATAAATGATCACTCGTGTTTCCAGACGCAGCAACATATGTTTGAAATTGCGACAGAGAAATCAGACCGCATGTTGCAGAAAACAGCGACTGTTGATTTGTGTGTGTCGTAGGAGGCTGGAGGACACGAAGGAGGAAAACAAAGAGATGTCTCATGCTCTCACCTCAAAAGAAGCTGGAGTCCGCAGCGTTCAGCAGCAGCTGGAGGAGAAGACTCGTGAGTGCAGCGTTCTGTCCAGACAGCTGCAACAGACTCTGGACGATGCACAGAGACAGGTGAGAAACCAGGATGTAAATGTTCTGATATCGCACTTTTCCAGACGTGATGACCACGAGCAGCTCTTTACACAACAGTTTTGTTATTGTGTTATGTTGGGATTCTCTTCATATCATAAAAATGTATTTTGCTTCGCTCATCTGCAGGTTGACGACAGCATGCACAAAGTTTTGGCCAAAGAGAGAACGTCCCAGTCTAAATCCCTGGACCTGCAGAGCCAGCTGAGTCGAGCTAAAACCGAGCTGACTCTGCTACAGCGAAGCAAAGAGGAGGTACACGACGTCACTGTCCCTCCTCCCAACATGTCAACAGGATTAACAGAGGAAATGATGCTCACGTTGATGAGCTGGATTTCTGTGAACTTTAACACAGACTGTCTTTTTTCTCCAGATGGAGCGTCGGCTCCAGAGTCAGCTGCAGAACATGAAGGACAGACTGGAGCAGTCGGACTCGACAAACCGCACTCTGCAGAGCTACGTCCATTTTCTCAAAACCTCGTACGGAAACGTGTTCGGTGACTCTTTGCTCACAGACTGACTTCAAACTTTACCAACCTGCTCAACGTCTGTCCCAGAACAGAGCAGATCAAAATTACATTTAATGAGAATCCACTTTTTATGTGAGAGTTTTATACTGTTGATGAAATTAAATAAAAGAATATTGTTTTGTTTTGAGTAAATAACTTTTCATATTATCAGGTCTGTCACCAGGAGGTAGATCCCCACTACATACACTGCAGCTGTGGTGGAGACTCTAGAGGGAGCAATGAGTGTCTCGCGACAGCTCTCATCGATTTCAAATTCAAACAACACGTGTTCAGTTTGTGTTTAGTCACAAACTTAAACTCTGGATGTTGATGTAACGTCTGAACGGGTCTGGACAGAATGAAAAACCAGGATTCACCATCACCGCCTCCGGTTCATGGGCCCAGGCAGAGTTGGACACAAGCTAGCTTTCCGGAAGAAGTTTACTACGCGGAACTTCTGCAAGCTATGTTGACTAGCTTGGAGTTAAATGAGCGCTTATATTCTCGGAAGAAGTCAGACGCGACATATTACTTGTAATCAAATGAAGCTAACAAGCTAGCTTAGCAAAGAAAAAGTACAGCAAGCTAGTAGTTCATGTTAAAAAGGTTGGCACGTTAGCAAAACGGCTAACAGAGCGGCAGCAGTCTTGGCAGCACAGCTCTTGTTCAATGGATCCAAAGATATGTATGACCTTTGGGAAACAAGATTCCTAGACTGCTTAAACATTCTTAAGTTAAGAGACCATCTTACAAAATATAGTAAACTAATCAAATGAGGGATGCATTCTGATTCATTCCCCAGCCAATCGGGCAGCTTCAGCTTCCAGCAGAGAGCTGAACGAAACATAAAATGTATTTCAATGTCTCATGCAAAGCTTTTCTCTGGTTCAGATGGTAAAAGACGCCATGTGTTCATCACAGGGTGACACAGTAATTCAAAAACAACATAAAAATAATTTATTTGTCAGTGACAAAAACAAAACATTTCACTCGATTTCTCATGATTGAGTATAAAACAGGTTCCGTTATGTTGAAAACTTAAATAGCCCTTTGTATAAAATATAACTAACAATTACACACAACAATATTTCAAGGCGAAGCTGGCTCCGTCGGTTGTTTGGCTCATGCCTCGACTCATTGCTTGTATTGAAAGTTATTTAGGAGGCAGGCGACAACAAAGAGCTGGTTGATGCTGCCAGCGATGGTCTGAGGGACGATGGTGTCAAATAGTTTGTTCTCTTTAATGCGCCGAGTCGCTTTCTCCACATGCATCATCAACTGTGCAGTGTCTTCAGTGACCAGCACTTTGTCGTGAGACAGCTGTGAGTTTTTACTTAGAGAAGCCGGTCTGTAAACTTTGCAGGGCACCAGCTCGTCGATTCGGAATCCATTGTCCACCATAACAGCCATGTCTTTATCCAGAAGAGGAAAAATGCCAGACTGCCAGAACAATTCTTTGTCACTGATGGAGCCAGAAAACAAGGAGGAGACAAAAGTGACAGCGCCATGTGGTGAAACGCCGATCATTCCCTTTAAAGTAGTGTGGGATTTATACAGGAAAGACGAAGGCATCTCACACCTCATCTCTACACTGTCAACAAGGACTTGCGTGTCAGGGAACTGGCCGAACACACTCGGCATTGTGGCTCTTATTTTCTCGGGAGACATCCATATTCCAACAGCGCCCAGTAAGGTGTACAAAGAATTCGCCCACGTTTTGATTATCCTGCTGACAGCGGTCGGATAGATGTTGAAACGATCAGCCAGATCCTCCTCCTTCAGACCCAGTGACAGGTACATCAAGAACAGGAACAGCTCATCAACCAGTGGAAGGCATCGGCTCTGGGGGCAGAGGGGAGAAAACGTTTAGTAGAAGTAACAATAAGAATTGTTTGCTTATCATACATGTATGAATGTGTTCTTGTGGGTGCAGATGACTCACAAAGCTGCTCTCAAAAATAAGATGGGGGACTGAACCATGATTACCGGTTGACAAGGTGGATCCGCAGCCTTTTCAGGAGCTGCTGTTGTGCTTGGGGTGGACGACCGTGTAACCACCCGCGCCATTTTCCCTGTTGCAGGCTCGATCCATTTCCAAAATGCCAGGAGATGGCTGTAGCTGGCAAATCTACAACAGGTCGATTTAATAACTTTAAAAAAATCACTTTTTATGACTTGAATTGTTTTTCCTTAGCTTTCTGTTATTGTCCTTATCTTGCCTTGGAAATGTTGCTTTAGTGTGATCCTGTGTTTACAGGAAGCCCACATGTAGACACCCACTATAGAATGAATGAATGGTAATATATATATATATAGTTTGAATATGAATAACATGTTAATACTATGATAAAACGTGAATATGAACACAGTCTTGCTCATTTATACCTGGTGTAGAATCTGATGTCATGATCTGATGTTGAAAACCTCTCCAGACCAAACTTCTGCTTCAGCGTCGTCTCCACCAGCTTCTTCTGCAGTTTTTCTATAACCAGCTGCTGAGCCTCTATCTCCTCACAGGCTGCGTCCAAAGCTGACGACTCTGGCTTCGCCGCGTAATCGTGACACCGAAGCCACGACTCCACGTCCGTCGCTTCCTCCCTTGATTCCTCCTCTGGTGGTGGAGTCGTCTCGCAGGAACTCGGTGGGGCTGCCGGTGGGGAGTAGTGGTTCCAGGTGAACAGCTGAGGCGCCGCTCCCTCTCTCAGGCGTCGCTTCCCGCTGTGGATAACATCCGTGGGGACGAAGTGTCGACTACAGACCTTCGTGGACCTCCCGACCACTAAATTCTCCCGTCTCACATTGCGCAGCCACATGTTTCTTAGCTTCTCGTCCTTTGGGAAGTGGTGGAAACTCACGGAGGAGTTGAACTTCCCTGATATCGTGCACTCAGGAACACAGCAGAAATCACCGCTGGGGTTACTTCTCAGCTGGTATTTAAATTTTCTCGTCATTTTCACCCATATTCAGATTTCCCAGCAGTTTTCAAACTGAATCCACCGCTGTGACCCTGCAGCTTGTTTGCTAACATTGGCCAACTCACCAAGCTAACACCTCACACACCTGTGTGAGGAAGGCGGAAGTGTTGACGCCCGTTTTCCGGTTTGGACATGTGACGTTCTTTCTTCTTTTACTTTTCTACCGTTTAACGGCGGTTGGCTTCCAGCTTATAGCGCATCACCGCCACCTACTGCACCGGAGTGTGGATCAGACGTAGACTCATTAAAGAAAATAATTAATAAGTAAAAACAACGAACAACGAATAAACCCTGATTTATGTTTTATCTCTGTAACATCAGATACTACACAGCCTGCACTCTGACACACTGTGAAATCTTTCTTATACAACTTATAGGTCCATTATCTGTCTGTATATGTTGTGTCCATTGTTGTTCGTTTGTTTGCACTATTTGTTGTATGTTATATGTTGTGTGTTATATATTACTTGCACATTTGGGGAAACACAATTTCAATCCTCCGTGTAACCTGTTGCATTGTTTGGTTGACAATAAAGTTCACTAAGACTAAGATATTTCCAGATTGTGGGACTGACAATTGATTATCTTATCAATAGATAAC